TTGCCTCGTTATAGATAACCGAGAAGATTTTCTTAAGAATTCACAATTTATATATTTGGTATTTTAAAATTTTATAAAACAATTTTTGAAATATTCCCTTTTAAATTATTTAAAAACTAAGTAACAATACTGTACAATTCAAAATGGAGTAAAACCTCCCCTTTAATAACAACAAAATACACATACATATCACTTTAATGGATTTATGGCGCTACAAGAAGTGTATATTTGTTCGTGTTTCCTTAACGACATGATTAATAATTTTTTGCTATTCCTTTTTAAACTTCAAGAAATTTGACATTTTTAGTTGACAGGCTGATTTTCCTCATACAATAAATTGTAAAAAAATAAACGCGAAAATTACAATAGCAACAACAAAACATACATTTTAAGGATACTTGCTGAGTACGTTTGAGCAGAAGTTTTTCATTTAAAACCACTTCCCCTTCTATATAACCGACTCCTATACCAAAATTTGGTCATCACTACCATTTTTTTCATTACAATTCCTATTTATGTTTATTCTTTTTTATATATTGTAGTTGTTTCTTGGTGTACATAAACGTGCTTAATACCCTGGATCAATATAGTTTATATAAATGTTAAACTGCTAAAATGAAAAAAGTTTAATTTATTTTCGTTACGTTTTTTTATTATTTATTATTGTTATAATATTCTTTTACTCTCCATGTGAGCTTTATTTAATGGCATTATAACAAAAAAAAAACTTATTTTTTTTTGTAATTTGGTTCGTGCTGCCCTGAAAGTTTTTCATTTTTATCAGAAGCAAAAGAAGCGGCATCAACAGCAGCAGTTTTGCTGTTAAATGTAACACACCCCAGCAGGCCCACTGTGTGTGTATTTTTAATAAACATACTTGGGTATTTATTTCTACACTACGAGTGATTTGAGTGGCGAATGAAAGTTAAATATTTTTAAAGAAAATTTTACAGCTATCTATAACAGATATGAATTTATAAACGTTATTGTTCTGTTATCTATAAAAGAGAAAATATTTTGAAATGAAAATTGTTCAGTTATCGATAACAGAAAATTTTCCAAAAAATTTTCCACGTGACGATAAAAGAGAAACTTTTCTAAAACAAATTATCCAATTAATTATAACTGAAACAATCTTCTTCAGAAGTTTATTTACAGAGTACGATAACAGAGAAAGTTTCCAAAGGAAAATTTTCCAGTTATAGATAACAGAGAATATTTTCAAAACATAGTTAACCAATTATCGATAACAGAGAAGATTTTTTTAAAGAAAATTGTTCAGTTATAGATAACAAAAACTTTTCTTAATAAAATTGTTCATATATCGATAAACAGAGAAGATTTTCTCCAGAAAATTGTCTAGTTATCGAAAATAGAATATTTAAAAAAAAAAATTGTCTAGTTATCGACCATATAGAACATTTTTAAAATAATTTTCCAATTATCGACCGTTTTCTATAGGATGTTGATTAGTAATCGATAATTAAGAAGTTATTTTATTGTTTAGTTATCGATAACAGAGTAATATTTTTTAAGAAAATTGTCTAGTTATCGATAACAGAGTAATATTTTGTAAAACAAGTTTTCCAGTTTTCGGTAGCAGAGAAAATTTGCTAAATAACTATCCAGTTATCGATAACAAAAATTTTCTGGATAAAATTGTACAGTCGATAACAGTTTAATACTTTTAAACACAATTGTTAAGTTATCGATAACAGAGAATTGTTATTAATGGAAATTGCACGATTATAAATAACAGAGAAGATTTTTTAAACAAAATTGTTCAGTTATCGATAAATGAGAAAAGTTATTTAAAGAAATTTGTCCAGTTATCAATAACAGAGAAGATTATTAAAAAATAATTGTTCAGTTATCGATAACAAAGAAAAGTTATTCAAGATATCAATAACAGAGAAGATTTTTAATAAAAATTTTTCTGTTACCGATAACAGAGAAGATGTTATAATGATTTTATCGATATCTGAGAAAAGTTATTAAATTAAATTGTCCAGTTATCAGTAATAGAAAAAATTTCTTAAAGAAAATTGTTCAGTTATCGATAACAAAGAAAAGTTATTAAAGTAATTTTTTTTTTTAATGAAAATTGTTTAGTTATCGATAACAGAACACTTAAATAATTTTAAAAATTATCGATAACAGACGGATTTATATAGAATAATTATTAGTTATCGAAAATTAAGAAGATTGTTTAAACAAAGTAGTTCTCTTATTGAGAAGTAGAGAGAATTGTGTAAAGAAAAATGTATAATTATCGCTTACAGAGAAAATTAATCGATAGTTATCGATAATAGAAAATAATTGTATAAAGAAAAATGTATAATTATCGCTTACAGAAAATTAATCGATAGTTATCGATAATAGAAAATAATTTCCTAATGGAAATTGTGCAATTATCGATAATAAAGAACATTTTTTAATCAGTTATCGATAATTAGGAAGAGAAAAAAATTTTAAAAGGAAAAATATGTAGTTCTTATCTTTTTAACATGATTTGTATGCAATTTTTCCAGAGTGTATGGCATCAAACATTCAGTTGGTTATAAGCGCTAGACTAAGTTCTTAATATCGCATGTACCATCATATAGAATAGAAGTCTGTTTTATTTTCTTTACATTACGTTTTTTTTTTGAGAAATGATCAGAGCATGATTTGCTAAAATAAAATCTAAATCATATTGCATGTATGAGTATGATACCCTAAATACATACACGAACAAAATTTGCTATACATACATACATACATATGTATGTATACATGTAATGTAAATATACAATTAATACATGAGTATATGGAGTAAATATTGCTTTGCCTGCCTATAGGCGTAAATGGAGAAAATTCAAAGTTTTTTTTTTATATGAAAGTATATATAGAGCATAGTTTGTTTGCTGTGTTACTTGAAGAAATTATGGTGGTTGGATTTTCGTTCCATGACGTTAGTAGTAGCAGTATTTATTGGTGGTGGTTGGGTAATTTACTAAATCTCCTTCCATATTTGCTACTTTGATTAGTTTCTTTTTTATATGTATTATTCGAAATTTCCGAAAAGTTTATTTTACTTTCTACTTTTTTTTTTTTGGCTAGCTCGTTGCTTAATTCAAAGTCTATTGTATTATAATCGCCCTAATATTATAAAGAAAAAATAAACGCGTGTTTTTATATTTATCTAGTAGATTAATCGTTAGCCTACGATATGGCTATATCCATTACTTTTTTTGTTGATTTAATACCAATACTTTTGATATATGAGAATACATACATATTTACAAACAAAATAGGAAATCTTTGTACATATACATATATGGGGAGTTGTTTGTTGGTAGTGGTTAAATAAAGAAATGTTGTACATATTTTCTGGTTTATTTACTGTAAATATATTTACAATTTAGTCTAAATAGGTTTAATAATATTTACTTTAGAAACTAGTGATAGTTGCAATTACAGAGTTAAAAAGAAAGCCGCTAAGTAAGGCATGAAAAAGAAAAATTTTTTTTGAAATTTTATTGAAAAATATTTAAAAGTTTTGGTATTAAAAAAAGGAAGTTTATTTTAAAATAATTTTAAAATTTCTTATAAATTTAGGTTTTTGAAAATTATGTTTTGTTTAATTTATCACAAACAACAATTAACATCTTATCATAAACAACAATAAAAGCAAATATAATACATACAAATGTACTACATACATACATAGTATAACAAAAAGAAATCTTATCAAAATATATAAAATGTATTTTTAAATTATTTAAAATTCCTGGACAACCGGGGGGTGTAGAGAAGAAAGGAATATCATGCGAAAAAGAAAACAAATAAATATGATTTGCAGACATATTTTTGCCAGATAAATAATTAACATTTGGTGTTGTATATAAATTGATATGATTTTACTAATACTTTCAATCGAGTCTATAACTAAATAAGATTAGATTATTAAAAATAAAGCAAACTTTTGGAACAATTTACAAAATAGCAACCATGGTAGTTAGTTATAAATTCAAATTCTATGTTTACTGTTAGATTAAGAAAAACTAATCATAAATGATGAACACGAAACAAACTATAAATGGAACCGATCTGTTAGCGATAGTAGAGAAAATTTTATATAGATAATTGTTTAGTTTGATAACATTGGGTGGCAAATTTTAACCTAGAGACTAAAGTATGCTTGTCTAAAGCTCTAAATGCGAATCTGGTCTAAGAATTTTACATCATTACAATGGGTGACAAATTTTTAAACCAGAGACCAAAGAATGCTTGTCTAAAGCTCTAAATGCGAATCATGTGAGATATTGTGCCCTGAAATTTAAAAAAAAAACTCCATTTTTGGCCTTTTTTGAGACTTTATTTATAAAATGTTGTATGCCATGTGAAAGTCCATTCTGTCAACTTTATAATAAGGATTAACATCTGACTTATCATGTCTCTTCTTCTCCCAGATGTGATTCGAAAAGGCTAACATGGTCTCGTGATTTCGACTTTCTTCATGACCGACCATATGATGCCCTACACCAGTTATAAAATAAAAAAGGCCAGATCAGAAGGTCCGGTTATATGGTGGCTAGGTGAAATAATGGACCGATTTGTAATAGGTCTCGTCCTTCGTATCTTGTAACAGACAGACGGGCGGACGGAAATGTCTTAATGGATTCTGAGTCGATCGTTATACTTTAAGGGCGTAAAACTTCTCCATATGTTAACGATGATAGGGGAGGATTGTGCCTCTGGTAGTACAGTTGGTTCTAGTCTGTACGCCCAGTAGTTGTGGGTTTAATTGCAGAGACTCTGGCAAAGGAAAGCAGAACAGATCAGATAGTATTTCTTCGAATCTGAAGTAATATACATTCTCCTTTCAAACTAACTATAGATGTTAGTGTACCTTTTTTAAAGAATATTATCAAGTTATCGAAATGAAAAACGAGTTATCGGTAGTAAGCCATAGTTTTCGTACTGAGTTATAGAAAACCCTCAAAAAGATATAGAAAAATCCAGGATAGTTTTCAATAGTACGATAAGTGCGATTTTACTAGAATCAAGTATAAAATACTTGAATCAACTTCGGATCAGCCAAGTATGATAGACTTGATTTTAGCATGATTTAAACCTTTTAGGGAACAAAGTGATCACGACAAGTACTTGTTTTAAGAAATGTTTTCTAAATTTAAACCCGAATCCATACTTGATTTAAGCAAGTACGATCTTTAAGTAATCGGTCTACAGAAAATTTTTAGGTTATCAATACTTAATATTTCTAATTTTCGAAATAATTGTCCTTTTGTTTTTATAGTTAAAATAAAAATTATTATTATATATTTATAAAATATAAATAAAATTTTACGAAAAACTTACCAGTTTCATTATCAATAGTAAAGGGTATGCCAGCCCATTCATCTCCCAAATGATTATCATCATCATTGTCATCAATATCTTTTGGATCATACTTTGACTATTTGAATAAAATTTTAAGAAAATATTAATGATAATCATATTTCAAAATGATTGCAAAAACACACAAATAATAACTTTTGTTTATGATTGAATTTTGACAAAAAAAACAGACGATGAATTTTTGAAATTAATCTGTGATAAAAAACCAAGTCACACAGTTCGTCGAATGTCTATAAGACAAAAGTAGTATGATGTCAAGAGTGCTGACATGTCAACTGGAAAAACTTGCCGATTTGTTATTGAATTGAAAGGTCTGAAACAGTTTCTTATAGCTTCGTAAACAAGTCAAATAATTAGTTCCACGTTTGTTTCAAAACTTACAAAAAACTCTTTTAGATCTTACGGAATGAATTATTTCAAACTGTAGATGATAAATAAACAAATAAATGCCAAAGATTTATCATAAACGATTATTTAAAATTAAAACTTAATTTAATAAAATTATGATGAAAAGTATACTTTTGATAGAATTTTTAATAAAGAGAAAGTTTTTATTTTTTCTCTTTAATCACTTTTTTAAATGAAATCATTTCAAATGAGTATGAGAGCAAAAGAGAGAAAGAGAGTTTGTGCTGAGCGATAGTAATGTAAGATGATGAAATTTTATTTAAATAAATTAATTTTAATTTTATATGTGAATTATTTGTTTTCGTATTATAAATTTATAATTATTATTTAAAACACTTACATTATCTAATTTGAGTGCTTCTAAAGCTTTCAACTTTTCGATATCGTCGTCATTAGCGTTAGATGATTGCAAAGCTTTAGCTGAAGTACCAGCATCAGCCAATTGGGCGGGTGTAAGACTATAGCCCAAATCGACATCTTGTTTCCATAAAACTTCAACAATTTCGCTTTCCTATAATTTTTTTGTTTTTTCAATTTTATAATTTATTTAGTGGAAAAATATTTAAACGCCACCATTAGTAGAAATTTTGAAAAAAAAAGTTTATTAAAAGAAAGAAGATAAAGAAAAGAAGAAAATATAAAAAATATAAATAAATTGCGCATTAATTAAATGTTTAATTAATAAAAAAGAGAATTGTAATTTGTATTTGAATTTTGTTTCAATAAAACCTACTTTATAAATATAGTGTCGCATTTTGGTAGATTTCTTGTTTATTCAATGGCTGTGGTAAATATTGTTTTATTGGTTTTTCCAAGCAGTTAGTTGTTTTATTAAACTAAATTTATACAGTGTGGCGCAATACAATGAATATTTTTATTTTATCTGAAAACAAACAGATTTTCTTTAAATTGTTCAGTTTAATGTTAGGAGATTGTTAATAAAAATCACTTCCCTTATTCGAAACTTTAATAAAAATTTTTGTTTTGAAATTATTCCAATATTTCCTAAAATTCAAATCTGCACTAAAAAATTTTAATTTTAATTAAAAATTCAATATTTTTTCAAACTTTCACTTAAATTTTGAAATTTTACAAAAAATACTATATTTTACTAAAACTTCATTATAAAGTACAAAATTTTATCAGAATTCAAAAATTTTGAAATTCTCTTAAAAATTTTAAATTATACCACAAATCTGAAATTTACTATAAAATCCAAATATTTAATAAAAATACGAAATTTCATAAAATTTTTGATTCTTAGTAAATAATAGACTATAGATTAGACCATAAACTAGACTACAGATAAGACTATATACTAGACTGTAGACCATACTATAGACTAGACTATAGACTAGACTTTAGACTAGACTATAGACTAGACTATAGACTAGACTATAGACTAGACTATAGACTAGACTATAGACTAGGCTATAGACTAGACTATAGACTAGACTATAGAATAGACTATAGACTAGATTATAGAAAAGACTATAGAATAGACTATAGACTAGGCTATAGACTAGACTATAGACTAGACTATAGACTAGACTATAAAATAGACTATAAACTAGACTATAGAAAAGACTATAAAATAGACTATAGACTAGACTATAGACTAGACTATAGACTAAACTATAGAATAGACTATAGACTAGATTATAGACAAGATTGTAGACTAGACAAAAGTCAGAAGAAATTCTGTCAGACCATAGACTGAAACTAGACTATAGACTAGATTAAAGATTACACTATATACTAGACTATAGACTGGACTATAGAACGAACTATAGAGTGGACTATAGACTGAACTATAGACTGGACTATAGACTCGTCTATAGACTGGGCTGTAGACCAGATTATAGACAGGCTTTACCCAGACTGGACTATAGACAATACTATAGACTGGACTATAGACCAGACCATAGACTGCATTATAGACCAGACTATATTCCATACTATAGACTGGACTATAGACCATATTATAGACTGGACTATAGACCATATTATAGACTGGACTATAGACACAGACTATAGACTGGACTGTAGACCAAATTATAGACCAGACTATGGACTGGACTATAGACAAAACCATAGACCAGACTATAGACTAAATTATAGACAAGACTATAGACTGGACTGTAGACCAGACTATAGACTGGACTATGGACCAGACTATATACTGGACTATATATACAGACCAGACTAAAATACAATCTAGACATAACTTTATCGATTATTTTCCGATTTAAAAAATAAAATTTATTTTTTTAATTTTTTATTTATACAAATTAAAACGTTTAAACTATTTTCATTGTATTGTCACTCACTGTAGATAATTTAAATTTATTATTATTAGTTGTTAATATTTATAATTATAAACCATATATTATTCGAAATTTTTATTTTATATAATTTTTTTTCTTTTTATTTATTCTTAATCTTTTAAATATATAAAAAAATATTTGGTTTCTTTTCAGTTTTTATTTTTAAAATATTTTTTCTTTATTTTAATTTTTATTTATAAAATATTTTTTATTTCACATTTAATAAAATTTTATTTATGATAATATTTCATTTATTTTTTTAATCTCGAATTTTTGGAATAAAAAAAATATGTTTTTAATTTTTATTTTTAAACACTTTCATTTATTCGTTTCTGTTGTTTTTTGTATCAAATTTTGTTTAATAATTTTATTTATTGTATTTTTTTTTGTATAAAAACGTCTTTAATTGCTAATTGTTTAAAAGTGACTATTCTTTGCTCATTAAAGTTGTCAAGACAATTTAATTTCAAATGTTATTTTCAAATTGGCCTAAAAAACAACGCGTTAACAGCAATAATATGAAAAGAAAACTAATAACAAATTACGTAGATGGAAAAATTTAAGAGAATCTATTTAATATTTTTGCAAATGTTTACTTATTGCTTTAATTTTATAACTTTTCATTTGTTTTTAGCTTTAAATTTTATTATACTTTATTTTTCTTCTGTTCTTATTTAACTGATAAGACTTTTGTCAAGTTTATTTTTTTTTACTTTTTCAGTTTAAAAGATAAGGTTCTCTTTTGCTTTTTAAATTCAATAGAAACTGGACTGGCAGTTTGTAAAAATTCCATATTAAATGAGTAATATAAGAAAAAAATTTTGCATTTGTTTATAAACAAATTCTCTTGATTATCTTTATTAATTTTAAGAGAGCGAAAAATTATGTCAAGTTTTAAAATGAGTTTTAGAAACTATATTTTGGCGGTAATCAAAATCTAATGTTTAGTTTTTCTTGACAACAGTCAGAGTTTTGTAAAAAAATCTTTAGAAAAATGTAAATATAAACATAAAAATTGCCTTTTGAGGGCAAAAATGTTGCCCGTTTTAGCTCCTAATTCGAAAAAATTATATATCTAAACTATTTTCTGCTAAAAGGCGAAAAACTACTTTAACCTTAAATTTGGATTGATGAACTATAACTTTTGACTCAATATTTTACAGTATTAAAGACCTTAACAGAAACTGTCTTCGGCTTATGTCAACATCTGGAAAAGTTTTAGAGAAAATATTCAACATCTCATGTTAAAATTTAGTTTAGTGTTCAGTAAAGATACTGACTGATAATTTCTTAATCTTAGGCAATTGAATGATAAGAAAACATAAAATTAAAAAAAAAAAATACGATATTGTAAAAGTGGACCATAAACGATATAGAGAAATGGGTTTGTCTTCAGCAAATAATATCAAAGAAACGTTTATAGTTATCTTTTATTTAAAATTTGATACTTTTTTTTATAAAAGTACGAAGTTTAAATATTAGTAAATTAAATAATGAGGGAGCTATACAAAAAAACTGCTGTTAAAAATTCACAATTTTTAATGATAAACGTGGGAGGAGGTGTAAGTCTGTTAAATGATTGAAATAGTAGTCATAAGAAAGCTTTAACATTTTTAATTTACTACCCAACAAAAACTAGGTAATGACTTGTACTAACATAAAAACTTAATTTTTAATGACTACTACATATCTTCTGACTTATGATGACTTACTTATAATCAGATACCTAAGTACTTTATTACTATAAGCAGTTATTTAAGCAGTTGTATGTAAGCGAGCAAGACAAGTACTTGCCTTTCATGTCATCAATGAGTTAAATAATGTGTTAAGATATAACTCATTACTTTTCAATGTCTCCTAACCTATTTCTTATTTCCATTAACGTCCTTCTAATGTCAAACTTTTTTTTTCGCCGATTACAGCAATATCTGTTATTCTTATTCATGGAATTATAGGTCAAGCCCTTCAGAGATACGTTCAATGAGGCACAACCATGAATCAATCGCTCAACCACGAATTGGTATTATCACAGATAATGTTGTTCCATCTATATTATATGGGTGCTGTAAATATTAAGGAATTTGAAGCGAAAATATAGTGCGATGTCAGTTGGATTAAACACATTTTTGAAATATATAAAGAAGCATTCAAGTATCTTAGTTTTATACTTCACTCCATCTGATCTCCTTAGAAAATGGCATACAATTCTCATATATGGGCCGGAGCTTAGAAGTTTTTTTTGGACTAACAAAATTTTTCAAGTATCCAAAGAAGCATTATTGGTTTTATACTTTACTCTATCTGATATCTTTGGAAGTACAACTCTCATATATGGGCCGGAGCTTTGAAGTCTATTTTGGAGCTACTCGACCGCATACAGGAGAAAGCGAAGGTATTTAACGGTGATTGTTAGGGTTTCTAATTCTATTGATTCCCTAGAGCACTGTTCTATCGATATTACAATGTAATGTGTTCATCTGAAATTAGGAAGCTTGTTCCCCATATCCGCAACACACTTATTTCATTAAAAACACACAAATTACAGGGAAAATTGATTCACTGTTCGAATGTGGAACAAACTTCCTTCAGAAGTATTCCCTGATAATTTCGATATAAGAAAATTTAAACCAAATGTCCAATGTTCCTAATTCCAACACAATACCCTCGCATAAGTAGGGGTCAACCCCTGAGTGCTGGTCAAAGAAAAGAAAATATGGCGAAAATGAAAAATCAATTATGGGCCGGAGCTTCGAAGTCTATTTTGGAGCCACTCGACCGCATACAGGAGAGAGCGAAGGTTCTCCCTAGAACACAGTGGGGTGTATTTCACTGAACTATCCATATTACAGAGGGGAATGAAAATTTTAAGGAACAAAAATTCCACTTCTATAGGTGTGATTAATATTGTTAATCGTGCTAAACTTGAGAACTATAGATGTAATTCCATGAAATTAAAGAAAATTTTTAAAAAATTTTGAAAAATGTAAATAGAAAGATTAAAATTTTAAAAGGTTTATAAAAAAAATAGTTTGAAACTTGCTATTTGACTTTTCCAACTTGTTATTTTTATAGGAATTTCCTTTAATTTCATAAAATCTTTGAAATATTCCCTAACCACCATATATTTATTATCTTAACATTCATTTTTGTGGCTCATCCCACTAATGGCTGTGATTATCTATGGTTTAATCTTTTCTTTCTTTTCTAAACCGGTATTTAAAATCCTTTTCTTGTACCTGTTTAAAAGGGAGTTTCTTTCTCTCTACTTGTACTCTTTACTCATACGTTTTGTTCTTGTCTTGTCTTTTAATCTGTCCATAATCTGATATTTTGGTTACTCTTCCTCCTTCAATTTATATTTTATTATTACGATTTATAACTCTTGTTTTAAAAGAATTCTGTTGTCTTGATCTTTTGTTAAGTTGTTGACTTGTCAAAGGATTAAAATGCTAAATTTTTATGTTTTCATTTTGTGTTATTTTTTGAAAAAAAATCTAAAGAATATATTGAACTCAATTGTTATAAAATTGCAATTTTGTCTTCGATTTCTTTTAGGATTTTGTAGGGGGTTTTACGTGTAGCAGCGTTAATAATGCATCATTAATGCTTTAATTTGAGTCTGTTTTCTTTTCGGGCTGGCATGATTTGACAGAAAATATTTTTGGCGAAATTTTTAGATCTGTCAAAATTTGAAAAAGATTTAAAAAATGTTCAAAATATGTATGAATTATATGGTTAGATAGATACTGTAAATCGAATATATTTCAAGACAAACCCAGCAAAAACTCGGTAGTGACTTGTAATTACATACCTACTTACTTTTCAATGACTACTATATACCGTCTGCATTACTTTTAAGTTCGTTTTCTGTGTGAGTACTTTTTTGTGCGTAAAACGAAACAACTTTTAATTCACCATTTATAAATACTTATTAAAGAGTTATTTGTAAGCGAGCGTGGTAAGTTCTTGGCTCCAATGTTATCTATGAGTTCGTTTAAAAGGTACTTTTTTGACACTTTGTACTTTTATATAAAATGTCCCATATCCCCATTTTATATTAAAATTTCTATAGAAGTAGATTCTTAAAAAAACAAACGACTTTGTATATGTAATTTGCCCTAGTACCATTTTGAGTACTATTTTTAACGGTTTTTTATTTATTGAACTTTTTGATTATGAAATTTACCAACATATAAAGAAGTTTTCAATAATAAAACTGTATGTATTGTCAGAACAAGTAGCATAATTAAATATTTTAACAACTATTAAGAAAAAAAAAAACTATCAAAGGAATTACAATAAAGTACCAAATACACAAAAGTATGAAAACGAACGAAAAACAAAAAAAATATTAAATAGCTGACAGCTTTAGCATGACATTACAGAAATGTAAACAACAAATACTGTCACAATGACAGTTGGTAGTGTTTTGTTTTCTTGTATCTTTCACTGGTGGCTGGCTGTTCGTACAGTGTACACACAATGACTTAATTAAAATGTTTTGAAGCCCAGCCATCAGCAAACAGTCATCTACTACTTTGTAAAATAACTGAAAATTTAAATTAAAAAAACTGAATGAAATTGTTGTTTGGTATACCATTTTATTTGAGAAAAAGGCAATTGACAAGTCGTTTTTGTAGACTGCTACTGATGATGATTGGAGCTCTTACTTTTGCCCCTTTCTTTGATGAGGTTTTTAATTTCTTATAACAGCCATTTTCTTTTTTTCTTTTCTTATTTTACTCAACTGTCAAATGACATTTTGCAATTGTAAAAGAAATTTTTAATGAAAATGTAAAAAATTTATTAAGAAATTGGTCAGTGTTTGTGTAAAACGACTAAAAAGTACCCTGAATAAAAAAGTAATGAAAAAGAATACAGCAAAAACCTGGCAATGACTTGTACTTACTCAAGAACTTGCTTTTCAATGAGTACTACATACCATCTACATTACTTAGAAGGAGTTTAGTAATGACTTATAAATAACTTTAGTAGACTTCAAGTGTTGTCGTCAATATAAATCAAGTGTTTTCTTTTTTT